CCCCCCCACAAAATAAAAAAGTACCTCTCGCACTCTCGAAAACACCTCCATCCGGTCACAATACTGCACAGTGACTCATCCATGCCCCCCCCTCATTACTTCCATGGCCCTATTATTAAACTCTCAAAATCGGCACATCAAATTACATGCCAATCCGGCGGTCACAATACTGCACAGAGACTCATCCATGCCCCCCCCTCATTACTTCCATGGCCCCATTATTAAACCCCCAAAATCGGCGCATCAAATTACATGCCGCTGCGGCAATCCGCGGCAAGGAGAACGAGGAGAAACGGCGACTACAACTGACTCAATCAACCTATTAGTCCCCAGTCGAAACTAGAGGAGGGTTCTCTGCACTGAGTGTACTCGATCGGAGAGTTGAAGATGTAGCAAATTAGGAAATACCGTCTTCTCCGTCCCACAACGCTCGATGCTGGTCCTGCCTGAGAGCCCAACTAGCCATATCGCGTTTAACACACACTATATGGACACATCCAGCGCCTCTTAATTGACAGCCTTGCGAGAGGAACACCCAAACCCTCCCTCAGCAATCACGAAAAAACAGTGATTGCCTCGAAGGCCTCCTCCTTCCTTCTCTACATTCAACAACTTTCTCTTTTTTTTTATCAATGTCCACTTCCAAAAACCAACACAACTCACGCTCGACGCCATTTCGACTAATAACCTTCCCGCGCTCCAAGTTTGTCCGAAAAGTAAATGGGACCCATGGGACACTGACCAAGTTTTTTCTTGATGCCATCTTCCAAACTAGACACACCTCCTCAACCCCTCAACGGTACATCAAAAATAAGCTCCAATATTTTCTTCAACAGCAGGGCGGAATCAAATCGTAATCTACTCACAACTGTCTAGGTTCTCAGTACCTACTCATGAGAACCAACTCCGAACCGACTCCAAACCGGCTCCAAACCCGCTCCTAACCGGCTCCAAACCGACTCAGTACCTACTCATGAGAACCAACTCCGAACTGACTCCAAACCGACTCCAAACCAACTCCAAACCGGCTCCAAACCGACTCCAAACCGGCTCCAAACTGGCTCCAAACCGACTCAGTACCTACTCATGAGAACCAACTCCAAACCGGCTCCAAACCGACTCCAAACCGACTCCAAACCGACTCAACAGAGCCAACTCTGGACGAACTCACAGCCAACCGGATCCACTCCGAATCAACCTACTGGTGCCCAACTCAGGGGAACCAAGTCGGGTTGGTACCGATTCTGAACCAACACAAAACCGATTCCAAACCAACACACGACCAACTCTGGACTGACTCCAAACCAACCTACTGGTGACCATCTCAAACCCTAAGCCCAGAAGAACCAGGCTCAAAACCAACTGCATAGAAGCAAGTCAGAGCCGACTCTGGAACCAACTGCGAGCAAACTGAGGACTAACAGCGGACTGGAACCACCGCAGCAGAACCAAGCTGGAACTGACTCGGAACCAGCTCAGAACCCGTTCCAGACAAGCTTTGAACCAGGTCCCAGGCCCACACCACATCAGAACCGCCATCAAACCATCTCAGAAGCGCGCTTTAACCAACCATCTCAGAACCAACTGGGAACCACTCATGGCAAGCTCAGAACAACCTCAGTCAGACCCATCCCGCAAACCATCTTGAAAAACCATGTCAGCAAAAAACCGTCTTCACAAACCGGGTTCAAACCAGGTCCAAACCAGCAGCTCCAATGTCCAAACCATGTCAGAGCTGTCACCGAACCAGCTCTGAACCAGCTCCCAAACCAGATCCGATCCCAAACCATATCAGAACCGTCACCAAACCATCTCAGCAAACCATCTTCACAAACCCAGTTCGAACCAGATCCAATGCCAACGCATGTCAGAGCCGTCACCAAACCATCTCAGAACCCCTCTTGTCCACCTGCGAACCACTCATAGTAAACTCGGAACAACCTCAGACCCATCCAGTATACAATCTTTCCAGAGGCGGGGGGGGAACCCATCCTGGCAAACCATCTTGACAAACCAGTTCTGCAAGTGAACCATCCTCTCGAACCATGTCGGCAAACCATCTCAAAACCAACTCAGAACCATCTCAAGGAGGCTTTGCTGCAACAACCGAGGCTTCGCCGGACAAAATCTGTCTGCCGCCCCCCCGCTAGACCCCCTTTCTGATGCAAACAGCAAGACCCTATGCTCCGGCGAAACTCCCATAAACCCCCATAAACAGCCAAAAGATGAACCCTACAAAGGGACCACCAGATAGACCCCTCCTGCAGTCTACTTTGCGCAGTCCGGTGCATCTCTGACGCAATTCGAACTTCCTCCTCCACTTGACAAAACAGCTTCGTCTCCTCTCGGAAAAGCCAAACACCAAAACTGTACCAGCCCTCTGCTCAAGAACCCAAGCAACCCGTGAACCCCTAACAACACACATTACTCAGCTTTTCAGCTCCCCAAATCTCCCGAAATCGCGGTTCAACCCAGCCTATACCTTATTAGGCATGGTAGAAATACTTAGCATGCACCGGACAACGAACCTGATCAGAAAACATTCAATATAATTAAAATATTCCGTCTCCTCAACAAGAAGTTAAGAACACATTAACCTGCGTTAGCAAGTCCCTTGCGCAACGCGGCAAAGAAAACCATTTTCACCTACATCAGGTGCAAAAACCCCATCCATAATCTGTTGGCAATTTGACAGCAAACCCTAATAAAAGTCAGAAATACCAACACAGAAAGAGCATTAACTCTCGCCGCTAACCCATGGCACAGACAATGCACTTCTTCGCCGATCACTAAGAAAAAGCTTCCGCAAAAAAAAATAACAGTCATCTCACTCTCGCACCAAGTAGTCTTGGCGCAAATCCCCTCCGTGCATCGCAACAGCTATCCACAACTCCGGAAAACAAACAGTACCGTAGCTTCTCTTCTCGCATTGCTCTCCCCCCTCACACTCGTCTCGCTCTCCCATCGAGTAGTCGTACGCAAATCCCCTCTCCCCGCATCACAGCAGCTTTCCACGACTACGAAACACAACAATACCAATGCTTTTCTCGCATTGTTCTCCCTCATCAACAGTCCCAAATCCAGCAATGAGCATCATCTATAGTAGATTCTATACCAATCGTATTGTCAATAATATCCAGAGGTAACATCATTGCCAGAGACATCATTCTGCTGTCCTTCACCACCGCTGTTTGATACCCATACTGATGAAGTAGTTGCGTTCAAAAACCTCTACCAACTAAACGGACAAGGCGCTAACCATCCTTTTTAGCAAAGCCTGACATCTCAACCAGGCAGCTAACAAATCAACTGGCTGACCTGCCGGAGGGGGTTAGCTACTCCATTCTCAACCCCCTTGCTCATCCCTCCCCCTCCTCCCCC